ATTTTTCAGTAAAACTGTTTTTTTTAATTACTAAAAAATTTCGACATTTGTTTTTCTAGAACCGTTAAGCTTTTCGTCATTCGTTATAAATTATGGTTACAACTTTAATTTACAATATCAAAAAAAAAAACTTTACAATATCTTAAAAGCATAACATTTTATTTGAAAAAATTAATCCTCATCACGTTTATATAATTTTTTTTTCCTAAATATTCTGAAATAGTATGTAAAAAAACTTGTGTATTTAAATCAATTAATTTTAAAAATATTTCAATGTTAGTTTAAAACTTTAAAATTTATAACTAAAGTAGTTATATTTAAAGTTACGTTTAGGATAGAGTTCGCCCTAACTACAATTTCTTCCAGCTCGGATCCCGAGGTGGCCGCCAATTGTAGATCGAAGGGTTTCTCTGTCTCCGGTCTTATTTCCGGCATGGAATCGTGCTAATCCCTGCAATTCTTCTACTTGTCGGGTCATTATAAACTCGCCCGAAGTGATGTTCGTTGTTGGAGCCTCTGCGTTGGATTCCAGCCACTTCCGCACCGGCGTTTCTGCAGATTTACCTTCTGAGATGACGGCTCTTGTGCAGACAAGCCCACCTCTGCCACCGGAACCGCCAGACCCGCTTGATCCGACAGAGAAATCTGTTGCACTATCGCCCTTTCACTCCATATCCAAGCTCCTCCACCATCTCCTCTGGTCAATCTCCTTAGATATGACTGGCTCCAGATCTAGTTGTTCAGGGTTCTCTCGAAGGCTGAGGAAGCCATCTCCTGGTTGCTCCTCCATCTATCCCCGAGCTCGAGACTATGTGTTTCACTTCCAAGCTCGACGATTGATGCGTCCATCTCCCTCGCCGAGATCCCAACTCATGTCCTCTTGCCCAGCCTTTCACTTTCTCAAGATGATTCATCCGAGTCATTCTATTTCTCCAGTTTTGCCGGAATTATCCTCTGCAACGGCGAGTTTCTCCACCGTAGTCAAGCACTATCACCGTCGAACTATTCTGGTAGCTTTCCCGACTCTGAACGGCACCAGATCGAGGAGTTCTATGAAGTGCTCTCGAAGGCTTATCTTTCCATCTCTTGGTGAGTACTCCCTCCCTCTCCATCCCGGACCCGCTTATCACCGTCCCTTTTCGGATGTAACCGGAACTATCTCCACCGGAAAAGCCTATTTGCAACAAAACAACATTGTTTCATCTATGGGCCATGTGGCTTTGGAATTTGTTGGGCCTGGCCCATGAGTTTTCATTGGGTCAGATTACGAGCTCTTTACTCAATTCCAAGTTTTTGGCAAAGCACGATATCTTTCCTCTTTAGAGAAGATCAAAGTTTTATGGATTCTCAAATCCTGTATCTTTTTCGGAATCAAAATCGAGCAATTTCCTAATCATTTTGTATTCTTGTGTAGCGGTTTGTACCGGATATGAAGATGCAACCGGTTTCGTCTTGACGAAACTCGGAGGTATGGGTAATCTTTTAACGTCACAATTCAATGTGACCAATCTTATGCTTTCCGGCCTAACCGTGAGTTTTATACCGACGCATCAAGAAATTGTTTTGATTTGATGTCGTATAATTATCTTGTC